AATAATGAACTGAAGAATAGAGTAACCAAAGAATAGAAGGGACCAGTGATGAATCAAGATCCATCTCTATGTAGAATTAAGAACAATGTAACCAACCAAGGAAAGTTGCAGAATAGAGTGCACTCTATAATATTATGCATTCTGACAAAGTTAAAATGATGTAATTATTTTTCAGAAAACTGAAAGTGAAGAGGGATGAGGACATATTGAAGAGGAGCTAATTACACTTCAGGGAGTTCACAAATGCTGTCTGAAATTAAAACATGAAGCTATTGTATACAGATTTTTAATGCTATTCATAACCTTTTATTTTTAACCATAAAGGCAAGTTATAAAAACATTTCTGTGGTAAATATATATTTATGATTTAGAATTTCAAGTTTTTGTCAGGCTTTCTTCTATTAAACTATTTTAATGATAAATAACATGTACATCTATGTACACTTTCTCCCTTTATTGCACTGCAATATATAATATTACTGATGATGACGAAAGGTTAAGGCTTTTTTGACGCTTGTTTCCTGAATATAAACATTTGGAGTGATTTGTGTTGTTTGTTTTAATTTTTCCACATTTAAAAATTAGTGTTATTGGTTAAACAGATCAATGAGCTTCATTTTGGAGGACTTGCACACACAGCTCATGCTTTCCATATTCCTCCCATTACACTATCACCCCAGTTTCTTCTCCAATTTTACATGTTTTGAGGGAAGTTTCAATGAGTATAATATGTTTTGATTAAATTCTCTTAAAATTGAATTTAAAACATTCCTACATTTTATGTTTTACATCTAAATATAAAATAATGGTAGTAAAACAATTATTGATCCTTCAAGTATCTATTTATATGAAGTACCTGGCACCAGAGAAAAAAATCTACATAGAAATTTGCTCTGGTACTTGCAAAATGTATGTAGGAACTAGCATATTGTGTAACCAAGAAAGACATTTACTGTTCTAATCTGGTCCTATGGGTTTTGTCTGAATTCTACAAAGAATTGAACATAGGAAGTACATAAATGATTGCAACCAAGAACTAACAGCATCACAACTTGAAAGTCAAGTAAATTGCTCATAATTCTTCACACTCTACCAACAAAGGAGTCTTGAGATTTCAAGACTTATTAGCTTTGCTGGGTGTGGTGGTGTACACCTGTAATCCCAGCCCTTGGGAGGCTGAGGCAGGAGGATTGCTGTGAGTTCCACCCCAGCCTGGGCTACCAAATGACCTCAAAGCCAGCCTGCACTACAAAGTGAGACCCTGCCTCATAAAAAGACTTCTTATCTTTGCTGAGGAACTATTGGCATTGGAATGATCTAGTAGAAGTTTCTTGGGCAGTCTTATCAATCTGTCTTATAGGATGTTGGAATCAATGACAGATGAGGTACCAACTTAATCAAGGATACTTGAATGGGAAATAAAGTAGAAGAGAACAGTTGAGTTAATTTTAGAAGAAGATTAGAAATGATAAAGGAGGTTCTAGGGAACTGTATGTGCAAATTTTGCTATTAAAATCAATGAAATACATGTAATTTGATCTCACTCACACCTTATATTCATATTACCTTTGATTTTATTTTTAGAAAACATCTGGTGATTATATATCTCTCCTTATGTTCACAAATTTTGCCCTAATATTGGACCATGTGTCCTGAAGATTGATGGAGAATATTATCATTTTTATCATTCTTGTAAAATAGTCCAAATTCTATATCTTTTCTATCTCTCCTATCTAAAGAACACATTTAACTAAAAAATAATTAGTTTGAAATTCCTTTGTGAAAATGATGCTACTTATTTTGAAAATGCATGGAATTCCATGATATTTTCAAGGTAAATTCTCTTATATCCTTTCATGTGTGTATAGTGTATTGATGGACACCCTAGAGAAGATTGAGAAAAAGCATGAATATGACAATAAATTGCTATTTTATGAAAGAAATTCATTTTTATATCATCTATCTACCTATCTATGTTTGAGAGGTCAGTTGGCTTGCAGAGTAGATGGAAATAGATGTATATTTATAGGCAACTGTGTTTTCTGCAGGTCAGAATCTTTCTGTTAACTTTCCACATGCAGTGTTAAATATATGCAGCACCAGAAAATAACTTCAGCATTAGTGGAAGGGACACACACATATATTAGTTATACAAAGTAGTATTTGCCTAATTTTAATTTAATTTTATAATTTCTTTTCTTTTTTTTTTTGAGATAGGGTTTCACTATGTAGTGCAAACTAGACTTGAGCTCACTGTGCAGCCCAGGCTGTCCTCGAACTGGCAGTAATCCTCCTGCCTCAGCCTCCCCAGTGCTAGGATTACAGGCATGTGCCACCACATCTGGCTTATAATTGACTTTTAAATTTGATAGAATCTCTTATGTGAAAGCTACAGGAATTTTGGATATTATCACTAAAAATTTTGAGCACATAATATGTACAACTGAATTTTTAATTAAAATTTAAACTTCTCGTATCATTAACATATATGTGTTCTATAATAATCGAAGAATGAAGCATTTTAATAAGTTTCTGCCAAACTAATTTTATTAACAACAGAATTATAACACAAAATTTTGATTAGAGTTTTGAAACAGTGAAATAAATACACTTTATGGCAAAAATAAACAACTGCATATATTCATCAGCAAATGAATCATAATGTGGGAATTGTTTATAAAATACACACTTTTTCCTTTTACTTCTGTATTCAACCAGATTTCCAGTGTAACGATTGATATCCCTCTTCTGTTTTATGTTTTTAGTACATGATTGTAGTACATAATGATTACATTCCTTGTGTGGAGTTGGTGCATGGACAGAACACATCTCAATTCTTCTTTCGTCCTCTTCTCCTGGCTTCTGTCACTCTTTCCACTGTCTCCTGACCCCCATCTCATTTGGGAATGATCCTTGTCCCTATCTCCTATTATCTATCTTTTATTTTCCTCTTTGTTTATCCCCCTTACTTCTAGGTTTTGCCCCGCTTCCTATTACAAGGAGGCTAAAAATAATGAAATGAGACCCTGGACCAGCAAGCACCAGGGCTGGAGATATGAAAAGGAGCCTATAGTTCTGAATCGATACAGTAGCCAGGAAATGCTTGTGAACTTGAAATGAGCTTTCTGTGGCATAAAGGTGGGAAGGCCACCTGCCACCAGCACATTGCGTTTATACTCTAAAAGTAGTGGACTCTAACTTATTTGTTTTATAGATGGAGCCAACTCTTGATTCTGTTTTCACTACAAAATCTTGTTGTTATACTTTAAAAAATGTTTCTTTTCTTCCTATTTTGGAATAGGGGTAAAGAAAGAAGGGAATGGAATTAATATGAGAAAATGAAAAAATGGAAACAAAGTCTTTGTAAATAGGGAGGGCAGAGGAATGGGGGAAAAGTAAGAACCAAGATGAATTATGTAAAGGTGCAAATTTCCAATGATGAATGTCATTATATTGTATACCTTAAATGTACCAATCAAATTAATAAAACAATGTTTGTGGCTCAGAAGATAAATTTTGTAACCCTTCTGCTGGCAGAGGGATTCACAGTCTTTAAGTTGTGTCTCAAATATTATAAACTGATCTAAATGGCTTTAGAGACCAATCATCTTAACTGTCCCTGGACTTCACAATAGTTTGTTATTTTCCAAAAGGTTTCTGTCTATGATTTCTCTCATATACCTAGGTCAAGCAGTTTCTTTGTGAGCATATTTTCTTCAAATAACTGTTTAATAATGTCAAATACAAAAGAAATATAGAAATAGCTGGTAGTAACCTCCAATCAAGGAAATACATTTGTATGTAAGTGTAACTTTTTAAAATTTTCTTAAAATAAAATGAAGTAAAATTCCAAACTTTTTAGATTTAACTATTTTTTCAAGTTTAATCATTTAAAGTCAATTGTCCATACATGTGTTTATTGTGTTACATCTGATCAAAATCTGAAAATTAAAGTAGTGTCAAGATAAAATTTTAATACCCTGAGTTCAGTCAATATAGTATATAAATTAAGCTCTATCATTTCACATATCATAACAAAAATCACTAAGTTAATGTAATGTTCTTAATTAAAAGTTTTATGAAGACTAATCTTATGTTTTCATTTCATTTAATATCAGGAGAAACAGCATGGAAACAAGTTATTTAAATTATGCTTTACTAATATTCTGGTTTCTCTTCAGTTCATATAAATCTTTCTCCTTTAAATCATGCTTTACTATACAGTGTATTTGCTCCTATATTACACTGATAGTATTAAAATGTTTTAATCTAAAATAGTTTCATATTTAAGAAATAAGGTTATTTTTTATAAGATAAACTTTCCATTTTTCTTGTCTGAATAAATTTATGTCCATACATATGCACATAGAATTGAAAGATTTTGATGTCCTATAAAATAGTTACTATATTCTTAGAAGAAGTATACTTAAGCCAAAAAGAACAATCACTAAGATACAATCCTGATTTTTAGCATGCTACTAAGTGATTAGATACATATGGCATTAAATACACATCCATTTAAAGGATAAATATTCTGGTTTGTTTTAAACAATGTACACCCAGAAATAAATTTAATTTCTAATTTACATTCTTTGTCATCTCTTTTATTGAGTGCACATCTATTAACTGAAAAAATATAATATATTAAATTGAAATCATTAATTCATTCACTGCTTTTTGAAAAAATGTTCAAGAAGTCTATGCCCCTTTTTGGATTACTATAGCTGTGTTTTAAACTTCCAGGGAAATTAGAGGGGCAAATTTTATAGACTAACAAAAAATAATAATGTAGTTTAGTTCAAAATGGTATCTGATATATCCATTTTAAATTAACCCTCTTCACTGCTTTTCAATTATTTCATTGTTTTAATTTCCTCAGATAGGTCTTTATCTTCAGAATACTAACACACAAGGAGATTTGGGATTCTATCCTCCTATTTCAAGCTAAAACATAAGCTCTAAATTATCTTTTACAGTAAGCCAAAGCCAGTATCACATACCTTTCGGGAATGAATTTCTTTCACATACAATGGAAGTAGAAACTCAGATATACCTTCAAGTCGTATTCCCTTCTTGGTGACTCTCAGATTTCCCATACCATCCTACAAGCAATGAAATATAGTTCACTTTTAGGTTTATTAGAGAATGAATATTTGGCCATAATTTTTAAGGCCTAAATTGAGAAAACAGTGAGTTCAAATCAGTGATGATTTAAGGAAAATGGGAGACTGCAACTACTTAATGAATGACTGGTAGCACTCTGTATATATATATATATATATATATATATATATATATATATATATATATAGGCTTCTATTTAAAATGAAGAGAAACGAGGATTATAAAGGACCTAGTGCATTCTCCTATCTCGATCAAAGACTAGGATTTATCAGGGAATATATACTCTTCTTTCTTCATGGATTAGTTCAATTATTTATTAGGTATTAAAATGATACTTGCTAGCTGGCTATTGGAAACAGCATTTGCAGAAATATCTTATGTTTTTATAAGTATGCAAATAATTCTACAATATTCAAATAGTTCTATTTGCATAGTATTTATAACAGCTAATTAATAATTGATATAAGAATACATGGCTTTCCACTTTTAAAATCATGAGTAAACATATGTCCCTTTGGAAAACAACAGTTCATGAGGAGGATAAAATAAATCCACAAGCAATGTTGCTGAGACAGAATGAAATAAGTAAGTGCAGAGCACTATTGGAAATAAAGATATTTCTTTTCTGGTAAGAGACTATACTCTTTTTGTGAAAGAAATCAACAAAGATAAAGGCCTTGAAAATGTGAAATTTCTGCAGAGATGGTCAGTGGAGATGGAATAAAATGAATATGTTGGTGACATTTAGGAAAAAACATGGGATTCAATCTGGCTAATATACAGTTTCCTATATTGGAATATTGGGAGCAAAAACAACTAGGGATGTTTTTAGCACCAGAGAAAGAAAAACCATGAATACAAAGCAAAGATCTCCATGCTTAAGTCAATTTCCAAAGAAAAAAAAGGAAAAATAATTTAAGTAGCTCAATGTCTGAAAAAAACTGGAGTTAAGCTTCAAGAAGATTAGTCTGGCAGAAATACTGTGTAGAAATAACTGAAAGTAATAACCGAGAAATTGGTTAAGAAATGTGGGAAGTGTGGAAGAACAACCTCTAGGCTTGGTTATTAATTTTACCTAGCAACACAGTAAAAAAGAATATTTAAGACTGATTCACGGTCTCACAACTCTGAGTAAATAAAAAATTGAAATGAGCTTTATAGCTAGAATAGTGATATCTATAGGTTCGATTCCACGGGTAAATTTAACTTTGACCTTTTGCTTTGAGATGTCTTGCAAAATTCACATAAAAATATAGATCCATCAGCTAGTACATCTGTAGAAAGTTGTCTGGGCAGTGAAAATTGCTTAATCATATTGAATCTGCCATGAAGGTAAGCAAATCCAATATAGAAAGATGGGAACAAAAGCAAAGGGAAGTGCTCAGATAAATACTTGTTCTATAAATTAAGAGGTGTTTTATATGTTCAGGGAAGTTATGATCAGTGTAAGGGAAAAGGCAGGGGAATACGTTCCCCCATATTCTACCTCCTTTCTCCTCAAAGGAGAGAGTCAATGAGGTAGTATAACATGAAGATATTGGCAATAGGAAATCATTGGTGAAGAAAAGTTTCAGATAATTTAAAAATGATAGAGGGGAGAGAGGGAGAGAAAGACAGAGACAGAGACAGAGAGAGACAGAGAGACACAGAGAGAATGAAATCAGAAAGGCTATCTCTCATGGATGAGGAAGTACTAGCTTATACTTATACTGATTACATTATACTTTGAATGAATATAGGGAAATCAATTTCTTGAGACACGTGAAAAAGTTTAAAATTGATACTAGACATACCTACTAGAGAGCCAAGTGAAATAAATAAACAAATAAAAAGAAGAATTTCAAGCAGGTTTGACAGTTCATTTCATGAGAAAACAGGTGGGCACTTCTCTGAGATAGGCTGGATTGCAAAAGTTTTATAATACCCTCATTCACTTTCAAAAGTGTAAAGCACCTCTGAGCTAGACTTTTAAATGACATGGTCACTCATTCACTGCCTCTTACTAGTGTGGTTTTGCAACATTATACCTATCTACAGAGCAGAAATAACAATGAGAGATACTCAAAATGAGAATTTATTAGGTAGGAATGACAGAAAGTCAGAAGGATATGGCACTCCAAAACAGTAGAAAATGATACTCCTCTGATGTCTGACTGTTATTTTTCTCTAAGGGTAAAGACAGAGGGATTTCCCCACTAACGCTCACATAGATACTATCCAGGGTACTGTTTGTACCCTTTTCCTTCTGCCAGAAGGAAGGCACTGAAATGCTCTCCACTGAATTTCTATGGAACTACCTAATGTCATTGTTGAATTACCTCAAATAAGTTCTATTACCAATGTAATTCTCATTTCAGTATTCATCTTCAACATGTTTGGAAAGGTGGTTAAAATAAGGAAACAGGACTATACATGCAAAGTTAAATGTGATATGATTTTCTATATTCTCATTTAATTTTGGAAAATTTTCAGTTTAAAACTGTTTTTTCTATTTACAATATAATACATAGCTTCAGATACATTATTATATTTCATTTAACTGGATAAAATTGAATTCCCTTCATTAAGTAGGACAGTTCTTAAAATATTGTGTGGTGAATTTAACCCACTAAACCATGTCTCTGTCTGCTCCTCTTATTTCTTTTGTGTCATATGAAAAGAATTCACAATTTTCATATCACTTGGATGATGTTATAAAAATACATGAAGTCCTATAACACATGTTTATAATATAATTAACCTGATCCTCATACTTGTGCATTAAGTTCATTAACAACTTATAAGATGGTGAAATAATCTTATTCCCCTCATACAGATGGTAAGGAAGTGATTCTTTTTCTTGCTGTTATTGCAGCTTCCTATTTCACTATCTTCTAGGTCCCTACAGCTGAAAGGGAGAAAATAATGTTTGGTTTTCTGTTCAGAATGATATTGCTAAAACACCAAAAGATAACAGAACCTAACGCCCCATGTCCTTATTTTTGTTCTGATGCCTTTTTGTATAAACTTGAATTGCTTAATCTCTATGCTTTATGTAATGCCACCTATAAATTAATAAAATTAATTTATTTCTTTATTGCACAGATTGCATAAGGATGTAAAGAGCTTAAAATAATGTCTAAAATATTTATACATGTATTCAGTAGTTTCAACTTTTATTAACATTTTAATTTTAGTTATTCTCTCATATATTATAAAAATTAGAGCTTTGTGGTTTTAGAGGTATTATCATTGAACTTAAAGGTATTCTATATCAAACTTGATGACCACTTCAGTTATCATACTTTTATTCATCATCTGTTAATCTCACCCATTGCTAAACTTTGTTGCCTCTCAAATCCAGCCTAATGGCCATAGTGCTCCTCCTCATATTCACCAGATCTGTCCCTTGTGAATTAGATAAAAGCGCTTGTCAATGAGGTGTCCTGTAGTGCAGTAGATGGCTTATTTCCCTCATCCTTTGATGCTCTGAGAGACACAGACCTCCCAGCAGGGATCATTGCAACAAGGAGCCCTCTGAGAAGCAGAGTGGTCTTCATCAGACCACAGACACTGCTGGCACATCTGTTTTAGGCTATGAAAAATGATTTTGTGTTCTTCAAGAATTGCTAGATGCCAGGACAAATGGACTAAACATTTACTTACTTTCAACAGACATTACAGTCATTTTGCTTTTTGTTTTTGTTTTCCGGTACCAGGGATTGAACTCAGGACTTTGTGCTTGCCAGGTAGGCAGCAGAACCACTGAGCTAAATTCACAGTGGATTTTATCATCACTTTTTAAAAAGTCAGCTTTTTATTTTCTTCCTTTCTATTAGCAATGAAAATGGAACAATTCAAGACCATTCATCTGCAGCCTGGCATTTGCGTCCTAGTCGTCCTGTGCATTGTTATTTTAGCACGTGACTTTTGATGTTTACTCAAAAATCACATCATTGCATCCTCTACACATAAATTTCTCTTCTTCATTTTCACTGCTTTATGTGTGTTCTGAATAATGCACTGAGATTGTCACTTTCCTTTTAAGGCAAATCTTAGAAAATGATTTCTTCCACCTTGGCCCTGTTTTTTCTTTTAGGATGATTTTTAAGACCACTGAAAAGGTTCTTGAAAAAAAGTTTTTTAGCTGCTTTGCTCTTATTCTATTGTCTCACTCACCTGTAACTTCCATTACACTGTACTATTAGCATTTTCTTCACAAAACGCTTCATGTTTTACCATGTAAGTTTCTTGATCCATACATTTTGGTTATTGCAATGATGTTCACTCTTTTCTCCTTTAAGTACACTCTCGAACTATTCAATATCTGTTGTAAAGGGTGCCGTTTTAATGTCCCAGTTAGTGATAAGATTTCTCTTCACTCTGCATTTCCAAAAACACTTTGTCTTACAAAGTGAATCATTTTCTAATTCTAATTTGTTATATGTGTAGACATTTTAACCTTTTTTTTTTTTTTTTGTACCTGGGATCAAACTTGGTTCCTTACACTTACGAGGCAGGCGGCAGAACCACTGAGCTAAATCCCTGGCCTGGCATTTTATCCTTTTTATTGCTTGCTACTACAGGTTTTCTTTTCCAACTGTTTAATAGAGTTCCAGAATCATAACAGACTCAGTGATAAAAGAGTTCTATTTTCAAATCAATTTAGGAAATCATTGTATGATAGCTTTCCATCTGGAGAGTCCTATTATATATTAGCATTTTAACCACTCTGAGAAGTCTGGAGCAAAGTAATGCATTTCCTTTGTTTTACACAGGATTCTCCAAACATTTTTTCAATCCCTTCTCTACTTACCCATCTTTCCAACCAGATAGAACAGTGTCCCTTTGAATACACTGTGGAAACGCTGGATTCACATATTTTGCAAACTATGAAGGCATATCTATTTAAAAGAGGTGCACTGTTTAGGAAGGAACCTCAAGAAGAGTTAATGAAAGAAGTCAAGTATAAACCTGCATTACCCTAGAAGAGATGATT